CCTAACTAGGCCGTTTTCCGACCTAATAGTGCCAGATATGGTGTACATGGGGGTCTCAAATTCGTCCTGTGGGGAAACCCCAGAAACCATTTCTATCGTGAACTGTGCTTTTAAAAAAGATTGCGACAAAGCGCTCGAAAATATGTAGCAAGAGAAGAGGGGGTAATGTAGTTGTTGTTTGCCTCAGAAAATGGATCAATGAGAGCAGAACGAGAGAAATATCAGTTTTTAATACAGCTATGCAGCATTTAAATATTCTGACGATTGTCATTTATCACCATATGAAAACCTAAAATAGGTCAATTAAATGAAACAATAGACCATTAAAGAGAATATACGACAAATGGTCGGCGCATGGCGGTTGACATAATGATGAAATGTGGGATGTTCTTCGCCTGCAAAAGACTTTGTGGTGCACCGGGAACATCCCTTAAACAGGTATCTCCAACGGCTTTTTCAAACGTATGGCGTAATCTGCAGAAAATGAAAAGAGGTCAAACACTAATGCATTTTCTTAGGCAAATCTTGAAATTCCCATATTTTTGGGGGAAATTTTCCTTATGGAAAAAAGCCTTCCCGGTTCTATTTAATCCGCAAAAAGAGGCTTCAGGGGGTAGTAAAGGAAAAACCACTGAAGGCTGACCGATGAGTTCAGTAATTGAAACGCCATGGGTGCAGCTCAGGTTAGGGCGCTAACGGATAGGCGCAAAACCGAATCCTACAGGTCTTCCTGGAAATATTACGAACTTATAGCCCCTTGAGTAAAATGTTTGGGTTTTACCAATTTATTTTATTGCTTACGTACTAGTTATTTGATTTATTTGTGCAGTTGTTTACTCTATCGATTAGTTATACCAGTGTACCTACAGATGAATACAAATCGAGATAGTATGTAGTTGAAATTCGACAAAGAATAAGTCTTTTGAGTCAATAAATCCAGCTTTGGGATGCGCCCCGCCCTCGACTTCCATTCAGAATCATAGAGGCTATTGAATGCATCTATACGATGACTTACCGTTGCCAGCTGATGTACCATCAGTGTTTTTATCCTCCCACACGAGACTCTACCACCTAATAATTGCCCAGCCTCGCCGGGAAAGAATTTAGGTATGCTTAGGTGGATATCGAGCCGGGATTCGAACCCGTGAACATGCGTGTGATATTGGGTCACTTTCCGCTACACCGCCCACCACACGATATAGTAAACAGTTGCTTTTTGAAAAGTCGTGAAGAAGAGTAGAAGAGTTTCATGAAAAGAACTGCACCAGCAAATCATAAAAAGGCAAAAATCATGTAACACCTAATAATTTTAAATAGGTTCCGATCCTTTCCGGAACTATTCTATAAAACGGCATTCCGCCGACTTCATCCAAATCTAATCAGACATTCTCAGATTCTTGACGACATGATATACTGTTAGGTTTATGCATAATTATTACGACTTATTTAGCAAATTTTACTTGAAAAAAACGATCGAAATATTTAGCAAAGACATGTTCAAATAATTGCTCTGGAACTTATCCACCATCTACGCCTAGCACTACTTCCCATTTGCTAGGCAGTCGAATTCCACAGGCGAAGAAGTTTCGATTCATGGAGGTGATCCACGCCTTGACGTCGACCATCAAGTGATCTATTTCGTCGAGGGTTCTGCTTGCTACTAGTCATCTTTTCAACGGACGATTGACGTGATAATCTATAGGAGTTTCTGTTGGCGAATAGGGCGAACGTAGGAGCAGATTCCATTCCTTGTCCGGCTATGACTGACTGTTCCTTCGTCGAGAAGTTCGTTGAGATCACTTTATGAGAGTGACACCTTCAACATTTTCTCGAAGTTAGGGCATTATGTGGCGTATATGAAGATGACTTCCTAGACTTATTTCTGTTAAAGGCACAGTTCACGATAATTTTGAGGTACCCGTTTTTATTCGAAAAGCGATAGTATAGATTGGGAATAGCTCATCGGTAAGCGAGAGAATCCTCTGATTTTGAGAAAAATATGGCTCCTCAAAAGTAGGCAAAATAGAGGTTGGACGAGATTGCCACGAAATAACATGGAAGGGGTATTCGGACGAGATTTCAGTTACTGCGATTGCGCAAAGAGCTGACTACATCGCGCCAGAACTGTGCAGAACTGCATTTCACTGTCGCCATAGGTCATGACGAATTGTTTGGACTTCCTACATGGGTTCCCTTTTGATCGGTGCAGCCTCTACGATGCCAGTGAAACTCGTCCGACGATACACATGGGCCAGTCTTTGACCCTTTATAACTTCCTAACTGAACTGTTTTCCGACCTAATAGTGCCAGGTATGGTATACGCGGGGGCCTCGAATTCACCCTGTGGAGGAATCTCAGAAACCACAATCTTACACTGGTGGCTTTTGGGAAATTGCCTCCAATGCTGCATCCCTTCAATCAGCAAGAATAACGTCCGATAAAAAAGATTCTCTGACACATTCTCCCTCTGCTACTGGCACGTTTAAACATACTCATTCAAGGGAGAATTTTGGCCACGCTCGCGTCGATACCAAGGAAGAGTGGTTGCTGCTATTGTTTTGCTTGGTGACTAAAGTGATTTGGTGTTGTTTAGCAAACAATACTGGCAGTTGCTGGCTCCGATCCAGCGAATGCTAGCCCTGATTCAGGATCCATGAACGAAAAGTTATATTTCCATAGATGGCATTCTGCTTCCAGTGAACTTCAACCCTTGCGACTTCGATTCTTTGCTGTCAGAATCAATTGGAAGACGCAATGGGAAGCAATTAGCTGAGCTCAGAAGACTCTGTTACAGTACCCAATCAAGCGTCTCTGCAATTCTACCGTAAGGTTGAATAAGTGATGCATTCTAGGGACCTCCGCCCTCTTGGTTCGCTGAGCCTACTCCCGGGAGAAATTTGGGTCACCCCAAACCTCCAACTGTTGCACAACATTGTGCAACTAGCCTGTATGAAAGACCACCCTATTTTGAGCCGGTTCACCTCAATTGATGGGCTTATTTTCCTCTCATCAGCTTCCTAAGTGTTCGCTTTCTAGCCTTAGTAATTCCATTTTTCCCATAGTCTAATAATTAGCAACGATTTAGGATAAAAGCGAGTTTACTTTATGAGTAATGTTGAGGTTATTCCGAAACACGACCGCCGTAGAATGAAATCCAGCTTCCAACGAGCCCCATCAATTCCTTAGCTGATGATTAGGAAGAGGAACTGTAACCACTTCAAGTCAGAAAACCTCGCCATTTACGACGTGTTTTCTGAGAGCCCAAGCCGCCTTTGTCGGCATACTGTATACTGTATTGGCTGAAAGTCTGTGAGCACGTACACACTAATTAACTGGACAGCGATTTTACATATGTCTTCAATTATTTTCGCATTACACTGTTTCTCAATTCTTTCTCCTCTATCTGTTGTTATAAGAAAATAAATTAGTTAGAGTTGACATGTCATTCGTTCTTCGAATTTTGGTGATTTGCAGGTTGGGTAAAAACGTGCACCAGCGCAATGGCGAAGTACTGTTTGAGTAAGTCCAACTCTTTTCCTTCCCCATCTGAACCTCCTGCAGACCTTACCTTTTAAGAAAAAGCGAGTAAACGCCAAAGCTGTGCAAAACGGTACAAGATTGAGAAGAAAGTTCGAGAACATAATAGAAAGGTGAAGAAAGAGGCAAAGAAATTAGGTGAGACATTATTTCTTTTCTCTCATTAGAATGAAAAGTATCGTCGATTGCGGTACCTGCACAAAATAAGAATCTCAATGTAAATGATATCCTATATCTTTTTTGATGCTCGTAATTCAGCTCACAAGAAAAAGAAGGAAAAGATCATCACGGTACCTAAGGCATGTCCTTTCAAGGAAGAAATTTTGATTGAGGCCGAGAAAGCACGAGAACGAGTCAAGGCTGAGGCTGAAGCGAAAAAGGTATCTGTTTGCTATCAAGCTTCTAAATCGGGCCTATTATGATCACATGTCTAGGAATTTGGTATAGCTGCGTTTATCCATGATCATATCAGCTCCAATCTTGGGATTACCGGTCTTGAGTGATTTCGACAGTTTCCGATAAAAAGCGAAACAAAGTGTTTTTTAAAGTGCTAAGCTACTGTAGAGTTTTGGTGTGGTGAGATCATCACAGATACCGCTGAACCTCGGTTTCTAATGGCTCCTTTTTATAGCATGGTTTAGTTGAAATAATAGTCAAGGTTATTAATTTCAGTGTTTCTCACGAGTTATTTCTCACACTCTCGCTCTTTTAATACCCCATTTAGGAAGCAGCTAAACAAGCACGTGCCGAGAAGCGAAAATGTCCGACACCGCTCGACCTTCAGGAGCTCACCGCGAAGGCGGCAAGAGAGGTTGGTTTTGTAGTGATAACTGATTCAATGGTCACGTAAATTCTCAAATTCAGGCAGAAGCATTCGAAAAACAGCAAGAGGCAAAGAATGCGGCTTCTAACTCATTCAATCCACTGAACGATAAAACAGTGAAGGCTTATGCTAGTGAAGTGCGAAAAATGATTGAAACAGCGGATATCATAATTCAGGTATTCAAATTTGGGATCCTTTCTGTCAGTGTTTGTAGTTTTTAATTTGTCGCTGTAGGTTTTGGATGCTCGTGATCCACTTGGAAGTCGTAGCAATTCCGTTGAACAGCAGGTTATTAGCAGTGGTAAACGCTTGGTCCTCCTTCTCAACAAGGTTGGTTTAATTCTTCCTCCGGCTTTCAATTTTTCTCAACTCATTTTTCATTAATGTATTTTGATGTCAATATATTGCCATAATTTTAGATTGATCTAGTTCCAAGGGAGAATGTTACAAAGTGGCTCACCTATTTGAGGGCTCAAATGCCGACAATCGCATTCAAAGCTAGCACACAAGAACAGAACACTAACATCGTTCGTTTTCTTTTACGATCTTTTTTATTTCCATTTTGATTTTTAAAAATAGCTTTTTTTAGAGCCGATTCAGCAGCTCCAACTTGAACAATTCGTCATCTTCAAAATGTATTGGTGCAGACCTCGTCATGAAGTTGTTAGGAAATTACTGTCGCAACAAAGACATCAAGACTAGTATTCGCGTAGGAGTAGTTGGTAAGGATCCTAATTCATTAGCTTCTATTCTTTTAATCAACAATGACAAAACTGTTTGGTAGCCTCCGACTTTAAGGATTTCCAAATGTTGGCAAAAGCAGTGTGATAAATAGTCTCAAGAGAAGGCGTGCCTGTAATGTAGGAGCGCTCCCCGGTATTACAAAGTTAGTACCGCTTTTCCCTTTTTGTTAGTCCATACAGTGGGATGAAGTGGCTTGAAATCATTTCGTTCAGAGAAATCCAAGAAATCGAGTTGGATAAACATATCCGACTCATTGATTCTCCTGGTGTGGTACTGCTGAGTGCCAAAGACCTTGATCCAGTAGAGGTTAGTTTCAAACTTCCTAATAGTTCCCATATATCGGAGTAGTCAAACAATGACCTTTAGGTAGCTCTCAGAAATGCCATTCGTGTTGATAATCTGATGGATCCAATTGCTCCTGTGATCGCGATATTAAGGAGATGCTCGAAAGAAACGGTAGTAACTTTTGATTTGGTTTTTCAAATGATATTTGATAGAACTGAAACTTTTAGCTCATGTTGCATTATTCGATACCGGAATTCAATTCTACTGACCAATTCCTCGCTTTGGTTGCACGTAAATTGGGAAGACTAAAGAAAGGGGCAAGACCAGACACGAACGCCGCAGCCAAACATGTGAGTGCATAGTTTTTTGATTTTTATCTCGATGAAGACTGTCTTACTAATAATACAATGATGTAATTGAATTTGGAAGTGAGCTTTACCTTTTAGCGGGAAATCCTTAGGTCGAATGAGTGAGTAATTTCCTTTACATTGTTCACTTTGTGCAGAAATTGGCTATTTCGCTACAACATTCCAAAGAATCTCACCATTTGCCATTCTTTTTTTTTTNTCCAATGCTGCATCCCTTCAATCAGCAAGAATAACGTCTAATAAAAAAGATTCTCTGACACATTTCTCTCTGCTATTGGCACGTTTTAACATACTCTTTCAAGGGAGAATTTTGGCCACGCTCACGTCGATACCAAGGAAGAGTGGTTGCTGCTATTGTTTT